TGGTTTTTTGTTTTGTTTTGTTTTGTTTGTTTGTTTTTTTGGTGGGGAAGCAGGGAAAGGTAGCTGTCTGGTCCCTGGGACTCTGATGGGTAGGGACTAGGGGCTAGCAACCTGATCTGCCGGTCTGGAGATGGGGGCTTACCTGTTCCTAGTCAGTGTAGTGTAGGCTTATGTTTCTGGTAATCTGGTTCAGTGACTGGGCGGTGCCTTCTTTTGTGTTCTCAGGTCACGTTTTGCTCATTCGTCAACTCCTCAGTTGATCTTGTTTCCTCAGACTGCAGACTGTAGGATTTTGAATCCTCTCCGGAATGGATCTCAACTGAGCAGGTTGTTTAGTAGGGTAATCTCACCAACATCTCCAAGTTGTTGGGTTTCGCAGGATCAGCAGGTGGGCCTGGGTTGGCCTCAGACAGAGTGTTCGGATCTGTTCTGTCCCATGGGATTAAAGGCGTCCCTGTTCCAAGCTCTTAATCCCTTTGTTTTCACTAACTCCTCAGCTCTGTATGCCTGCCTCTGCCGACGCTTTCGACTTTTTATTTCTGTTTCAACCCTTCCTGTTTGTATCCTCTGCTCTCTAATCTACCTTTTCAACATTTAATATTTCCTGCACTACAATTACATAGTACAGGCATTTTCATTTTATTGGAAATGATTTTTGTGTGTGTGTGTGTGTGGTGTTTTTTCGAGACAGGGTTTCTCTGTGTAGGTTTGTGCCTTTCCTAGAACTCTTTGCAGACCAGGCTGGCCTCGAACTCATAGAGATCTGCCTGGCTCTGCCTCCCAAGTGCTGGGATTAAGGCGTGCACCACCACTGCCCGGCTTGGAAATGAATTTTTAAAACAAATGGACAATCTTTCTCATAGGCCACAGTGTCAATGTGCAATTTTAACAAAAATCTAGCTCCCTGGATGATTCTGAGTATGCAAACCCGCAAAGCACAGGTGAGGTTGCAAACTAGCACCAGAGTCAGAGAAGGTTAAGAAATACCCTCTTCCAGATTTTCAAGTGATGGGGAAGAATCACTTTTTCCTATGTACCAAAGTTCCAGAAAGTCCTTGAAATACATACTTCTTGGACTCCATCCAAGTTCAGAAGACAACCAACCCAACAGCAGTATAGGACCCAAGCCCATGTTACCTGCAGATAAACAAGATGTAATGTACTTGATGGACACATCTTACCAGAGAGGTCAGAGAGTAGATATGGTACTATTAATGTAATAGTTAAATGTCCAGTCATCTGTCATTCTAGCTTGCCTTCAAGCCTGATTTCTAATACAGAGGCAGCACCAACAAGCTGACTATGACAGAGAATGGAACCGTGGTGGTTAATATCAACTGTCAACCTGATGAGATCTAGAATCACCTAGTAATTAAGTCTTTAGGCATACCTATAAGAAATTACATACATCAGGTTAAGTGAAGTAGAAAGATATTCCTATTCTAGACAGTATGCTCCATGGGCAAGGCTCCTGAATTAAATAAAAAAGGAGAAAGTGATCAGAACACTCACTGTCCTCTGCTTTTGACCACAGACACAATATATACATCTGGCTCAAGTTCCTGTTTCCATGTTTGTTGTTCTGAATAAGAATGGCCCACATAGGCTCATATATTTGAATGCTTAGTTACCAAGAACTAGAACTCTGGGACAGGATTAGAAGGATTAGGAGGTGTGGCCTTGCTGGAGGAAGTGTGTCAATGGGGATGGGCTGTGAGGTTTAAAAGCCATGCCAGGCCCAGACTTTTTCTCTTTCTGCCTGTAGATCAGAATGTAGCTCTCAGTAACTTCTCTAGCACCAAGCCTACCTACCTGCTGCCATGCTCCCCACCATGACAATAAGATACCATGACTTCCTCACCATGATGAAGTCTCATGAACTATGAGCAGGAGCGATCCTTTCCATTGTTAAGCTGCTTTTGTCAGGAATTTTGCCACAGCAATAACAAATAGAACTATTACTGAAGGTGAGGACACGAGAGTGAAGGTGGCAGTTCTGAGTCCACTGCCTGCCTGAATTTGAGATGGGTTAAAGAAAAGTCAAGATTTAACAAGGACTTCCAAGCTGTACAAATGAATCCATAACAATGTTAAGACCTCTTCTAAGTCTGAGTAAGTCCTGGAGCTGTGGCTGTAATGTGGCTGGTTCCACTATGACAGGCTCAACAGCCAAACAGTGAAATTTACATGAATACCAAGACAATGATAGTCATCCCAATTACCTGCCTGCTGATATTCTCAGTGCTTAGCTGGAGAGAAACCATGAACAGTTCTACGTATGGCTGAAAGACGAAACTAACTTCTACACCTTGGTGTCTACGCTTGTGGTCTCATATTCTAGAATAGACTATACAAAGGCATCACTCTGAAACATCTCACATGTTTTCATCCTTGAGATGACATAAGCATGTGGTTGTCAGCAGGGCGGTGGTGGCGCACGCCTTTAATCCCAGTACTCAGGAGGCAGAGCCAGGCGGATCTCTGTGAGTTCAAGGCCAGTCTGGTCTACACTACAGAGCGAGTTCCAGGACAGGCATCAAAACTACACAGAGAAACCCTGTCTCAAAAAAAAGAATGTGGGCTGGGCGGTGGTGGCGTACGCCTTTAATCCCAGCACTCGGGAGGCAGAGCCAGGCGGATCTCTGTGAGTTCGAGGCCAGCCTGGGCTACCAAGTGAGTTCCAGGAAAAGGCACAAAGCTACACAGAGAAACCCTGTCTCGAAAAACCAAAAAAAAAAAAAAAAAAAAAAAAAGAATGTGGGGCTGGAGAGATGGCTCAAAGGTTAAGAGCACTGGCTGCTCTTCCAGAGAACCCGGGTTCAATTCCTAGCACCCACATGGCAGCTCACAACTGTCTGTAAGTTCAGATCTCCAGGATCTGACACCTTCAGACCAATGCATATAAAATAAAAGTTAAAATAAATTAAAAAAAAAAGAATGTGGTTGTGTGGTATGTTCCTATCTTGTAAGCTGTAGACAACAACATTCAACACTATTGGGGAGGCATTAGAACCAGGATAGCTGGAATGAAAAAATGCTACCAGACTATTTTTGTTTTAAATCAAATACAAGTTTTCCTTCTATATTACACAGTAAAACTACATAAAAGGAAAAATTGAAACATTTTTTCTCTCCCCTTTCTCTAATAATGTCAGTAAAACTCCATGTAAGTAGTAGCAGATTAATCAGTGTGAACTGTGCATCTTGAGAAGAAACAATTTCCAACTGATCAGTTAGGATGGCAATATCCTGCAGCTGTATAACTTCCACAGGGCTTTCATAAACTGGTGTATAGGAGACACGTGAGCATTCAATTCATTGAATTGAACTTGGCAGTGTTAACACACATATTTGGGCAGGAAGAATGTGAACTGTTTCAGTGTGATAAACAAAGGGAACTGAAGTTCAGAAAGTGGCTTGCCTAGTATTACTTAAATTAAACACAGACTAAGGGCTTGAATTCAACCTTCTGAATTCTAAAATCAACAATCTACCCACTATATGCCCCCATGTTTCAGAGGCCTGTAGAAAGGCAGGACACTGGGGAACTGTATTTGGTGGCCAAAGAATAGCAAACATGAGTAAGCAAAGAGCCTGAGGACCCTCCCTCAGGACAAAGCATCCATCTTAGGAATATCCAAAGAAACAACTAGAATTATCAAGGGACTAAAGATGTACTCTTTAAAAGTTTGTTGTTTGTGAAGTAACTAATAAAAGGCAAGCAAGCCTTACTGGCAAATGGCAGGCAACCCCAAGCCAGAAAAGGCCTCTTAGAGTTAGTGTCACAAACAAGAAGACGTAACAGGTTCACTTCCAAGTTATTATTATAGGAGACAATGGGGAAATAAAAACTGAAATAATACGCAACAGTTAAATTTCAGCAAATGTAGATATAAGATTTGTGTACTTCATTTTAACTTTACCTTTAAAACACTTGAGAAAAGAGCCACATTTTTTAATTTATTTTTTACATTTGAGACAGGATCTCAATATGTAGGGCTGGCTAACTGGCTTCACAGTAGGTCTAGAACCTGCTCTGTAGACCAGTTTGGCCTTGGACTCAGCAGAAATCCACCTGCCCCTCTGCCTCCTGAGTGCTGGAATTAAAGGTGTACATCACTACACCCAGCAAAAGCCACCTATATATATATTTTTAATTAGCTTAAAACATGATGACAGGGGCTGGGGAGATGACGCAGTAAAGAGCTTGCTGGGAAAGCATGAAGACCTGAGTTTGAATCTCTAACACCGGTGTAAAAAGCAGGGCACAGTGGCACATGCCTATAATCCAAGGCCTTGGGAGGTGAAGACCGAGGATTGCTGGAGCTTGTTGGCCAGTTAATCTGGTTGAATTAGTGAGCTTTACTCTATCTCAAAAAATAAGGTGAACAGCCATAGAGGAAGACATCCAATAGCAACCTCTGGCCTCCATATGTGTATATACCTACCACTACCTACCTACATACACATACACACACACACACACACACACACACACACACACACACACAAACTAGATGACACTATAAATAATTGCCTTAGCATATGCAAGATCTAGAGTTCAATCTCTAGCACATCACATACACCTTACACACACATACATGTCATTTTAATAAAAGATCAGGGAGAAATGTAAGAGAATAAAGTGAGAAATTAAGCACTTTCACATAAATGTCCAAGGCTGATGTGGTTCAAGGCCTACTCAAATGACACTTTAACATGAATGTTACCAAACACATACACAAAATTCACAGCTTCCTTCTATTAGGGTTCCACAACCCCCACAACCTTCTTATAGTCATTTTAGGCCTAGGAAATTAAAGTGTCAAACACAGTTTTCTTATCTTCCCCTGGAAAGAAGGAAATGTATCTTACTAAACTTAGAATAATGGGAAAAGCTAGATGCTTTATAAAGCAGAGATTGAAGATGTGAGTCCTATAGGTTCCCATTTCATGATAAAGGCATCTTCAAACAAAGTTCCCTAAGAAGTCTGGCCTACCTGGTCTGCACAAGTCTCCATGTTGCTCCTTTTCACTGGCGTAGACCTCCATGCACCAAGCATGGTATGCAAATGAGAAGAGATCTTCTATTTTACCAGGTGGTCGGATTGCATTGTTCAATCTCTTCAGCCAATCTTGACACTGCTCAAAGGTTGGGAACTGACACCTTTGAAAAACAAAAAACAAGTATAAACGCAATCAGGTGACAGTTGATAATGAAGTCTAAGCAAAGCCACCATTTCAAGAGTGCCTGTTCATAACGAAGGGTCAACTAAGAGTGAAGAAAGCATCACAGACAGTCATTCACTACTACTTATAATAAAAACAGATCCAACAAATTATAGCCAGCAGTGCAAAATTTAATAAAAAAAAAAAAAAAAGGGAGGGTGGACAAGTGGAAAATCTTATTATTTTAATCTAATGACTCTCTTCTGAAAATGATTAATGGTGATTATCAAAGTAAAGCATCAGTTTGTCTCTCTGACGAATCAGGTCTCACCCTACTTCTTCAGCTAGTTTTAAAGTTCTCTCTCTCAAGAAGTATGTTCAGAAAAGTCCTTTTTCTTTTGTTATGACATAATAAGCCAACCTAAACAACAGACCACAACACTATCCACAGCCAGTTGGGGGAATGGTTTCAAAATTTGTCTACTTAGCAATTAGGACAATCAGATCCAAATTAAGGCAGAGGACATGCAAACTTTCAGCTGCAACCACACAGAGAATGAAACAATGGTACTGTATTATCAACAGCAATTTTCAGTATCTACAATTAAAGCGTTAAAATAATTAATGCAAACTGAGTTTTTGAAGACTCATGTAATTTGTATTTTTGTTTGTTTGTTTGGTTTTGGTTTTTTCGAGACAGGGTTTCGCTGCGTAGTTTTGGTGTCTATCCTGGATCTCGTTCTGTAGATCAGGCTGGCCTCAAACTCACAGAGATCCACCTGGCTCTGCCTCCCAAGTGCTGGGAATAAAAGCATGCACCACTGGTACGTTAATGTTTTCCTTAACAAGGTCACTTACAGCCCTTCCTTGTCCCAACCAATGTAGCTCAACAACATGACAGCACAGTGTTTACTGGTGCCCCAAAACAGATCAAAGGAATAAAGTAAAAATGTCAAGAATGGAGCATATCTAGAGTTATTAAATTAAAAACATACTGCAGGCATCATTTTGCAATGATCAGAGTTAAAATTAGTTTGATAAAATCATGAATGAATGCTAAACTTAGAGAAATTTTGATGAGAGACAAAACAACTGCATTTTCTCAATGTATTTCCCATAGATTGTTTATTAGTTATAAGGGGGAAAAATGTAGAAATTCACTACTACTACAGAAACGGGCTAATACTCTGACTGGACTAATCAAAAGTCATCAATAGGGGAAAAATGGATCAACTGTTTCTGGATGTAACACAATACCTTGAAAAGGAGTGTGTGTGTGTGTGTGTGTGTGTGTGTGTGTGTGTATTCCAGTTGCAGACATGTAACTTCAACTTAATCTTGAGGAATCTCTAGACAATCATAAAATGAGAAACAATCTATTGAAACAGAAAACTCTATAGTTCAAAATGCCACTGTCATAAAAGACAGAGAAAGGCTACAGAAAGATTCCAGATTAAAGAAGATTACAGTCACTACAGCCAAATGCATTATCTGACTCTAAAATGCTGAATGAGAAGGGTGAGGATGAATGCTGTAAAGGACATCACTGGAGCAGGGATAGCAGATTTGGAAAGGGTAATATTATTGTAAAATTGTGAAGCTGACAATGATGTACAGGTTATATGAGAAAATATTCTATTGTTAGGAAAGCACACTTTAAGGTTGAAGAACCAAGTGAAGCAACTTACTTTAATTTTTCAGAAAAGAATCTCTCTGCCTCTCTGTCTCTGTCTGTCTGTCTGTCTGTCTCTCTCTCTCTCTCTCTCTCTCTCACACACACACACACACACACACACACACACACACACACACGAGCTCTGCAAATGATAAAGTAAATTGGAGTAGAGTATTTACAGGGGTAAATGGTACACAACTGTACTACTTTAATTTTTATACTTTTTTAAAATTTTTATACTTTTTATATATTTAAAATTCACTTCCAAATAAGAAGTATCTGTTTGTATAGCAATATACACTAAGAATAAAATACTTCAGGTACTAACTACTCAGAAATTATTCTAACAAAGTGGACCTTCAAAAGACATTTTGCTAACAAACTATATAACAACTCATTCAAGAATATTTTTGCCAATACTACACAGCCTCACAAACACACCACCTACCTGATAACTTTGCGGTCTTTGCACGTCAAATGAAAATGGACCTTCAAAAGACATTTTGCTAACAAACTATATAACAACTCATTCAAGAATATTTTTGCCAATACTTCACAGCCTCACAAACACACCACCTACCTGATAACTTTGCAGTCTTTGCACGTCAAATGAAGCTGGAATATATCACGGCATTCAACACTTTCTATAAGCTGTAATGGAACCTATAATTAAAAAGGATAAAGTCCTCTTAGTCAAAAAGGCATTGACTTTTTGCAGGCACATTCAGCCCAACTGATTAACAGGGAAAGAAGCAAATACAGCCACAAGTTTAGCTGGACCAGTAGTGATTTACTAAAGAGTGGATTAGTTTCCCTTTCCCTAAATCAATAACCTCAAGTCACAGCATGATGACCACTAAGAAGAGGTATGGATTCTGGAAGAGAAAAGGGAACAGGTCCTGAGTGTCAAACTCACAAGCTCATCTCTCGATACCCCTTTAAGAAGCTATGATTGGCAATAACACAAAAGTTGAAGAGCACTACATAGAAGCACTGCAGGACAAGTGTCAACAGGACTGCATGTAGTCTCTGTCCCAGACGGCAGAGGAGATTTATTCCTCAGTTCTTAGCAAAGGAAGCTTCCGGAAAAAGCTGGAGGCCTAACTACCTATAGGTTATCAAACAAAGATGGCACACCAGTAGCAACTGGTCAGGGTCTCTGTTCCATAGAATACATCACAGATATAGTAGTCAAAGAACCTAAAATTGGATAGAACCAACTTGCTCCCAAAAAATAGCTGAAGAGCCTTGTTTGCCAAGTAGGACTCAAGGTTTGAGTGGATTGGAATGGTCCCCCTCCCTGCCAATTGTGTCAGCAGGCCCTAGTAAACAATACTGGGCAGAGATGAAATACACCAGTGAGACAAAAGAAATGCCTCTAAAGTATGTAAATAACCCTCAGGCTGACACAGTGACATCCATCCTGAAAATATCTGACTTAACCTCCAACTACAAAAGCAATTTCCAAGCAAGGTATGATAAAATAATAATTCTTTTCTTTTTTTTTTTTTAAGACAGGCTTTTATGCATCCCAGGTTGGCCTTAAACTCCCTATCACTGAAGACAACCCTGAACTCTAACTCTCTTGCCTTCCCAAGTCCTAGGATTACAGGCCTGCACCACCATGGTTTGTTTATGTGGTGCTTCGTGTCCAGGGCTCGATGCATGCTAGGCAAGCACTCTACCAACTGAGTTACTACCAGCCCTGAGAATGCTCTCTTTTTTTGTTTGTTTGTTTTTGTTTTGACAAGGTTTCTCTGTGTACCCCTGGCTGTCCTGGAACTCACTCTGTAGGCCAGGCTGCCTGCCTCTGCTGGGATTAATGGCATGCATCACCACCACCCAGACTGTGTGGAAAAAGAGTAGCTTACTTGTCCCTAACACTGTATCAAACCCAGTCAAAATATGGCTACAGGAACTGCAGGTAGCACTCCAACAATTTTTAGGTTTGTTCACCGCCCATGCTGCCTCCAAAGGGTGGACCCATATCAGCCCTGCTAGTTTCAGAGCTGGCTTACTACAAACTGACCTACCAGAAAGCTGCCAGAATCAGCAGAGAACCCTCAGAACAAGGCTACAGGATCAAAAAGAAGTCTAGTACTTGAAGGCTGAAACACAGAAACAGAAACTGGGGCACAAATTGAAAAACAGCAAAAAACCAAATAATATTATGCAGATAAATGCCAGGGAGTTTTTGCCTTGGGGCAAAAGCCTAGTTTCTAAGTATATAATCTGTAAAAATTCCCTTACAATTGTAACAGAATTGGAGTTAAGAGGAATACTATGCATCCTTGTTTATATTCCAAGAAAATAGAAGCTTTTGGCTCTCTGCTTGTTTAAACACTTAACCCCAAGCTGATAGAGCTAAAAATTCTTTCAAGAGTCTGTAAATCTGGGGCAGGGGGAGGAGGGAGAGAATTATCAAGAGATAATATGGAGATCAAGAGGGAAAAGATTAGGGCAGGTAAAAGTGCTTTCTGCCAAAGTCTGGCAACCTGAGTCCAATCTTCACACACTCTAAAGAAATATATTTAAACGTCAGGCAGTGGTGGTACATGCCTTTACTCTCAGCACTTGGGAGGCAGAGGCAGGCAGATCTCTCTCTGAGTTTGAGGCCAGCCAGGTCTACAGAGTGAGTTCCAGGGCAGCCAGGGCTACACAGAGAAATTCTGTCTCAAAAAAACAAAAACAAAACCTTTTCTTTTTTTTAAAGGAAGACAGATTAGAATACAACAGTGACTTATTCTCAGGCAGTCCTGTAGATTCCCTGTAAATGACTCTTTGTTTTTTCAATGTGTTCCTGCAAGCTACCTTTCCTCCATCGCTCAAAGCATAGTGAGGTCATCTGTCAGTCTGGCAAATGAGAAACCTGTAAAGCTTTTATTTTCATTTGCAAATATGTGTATGTATGTGTATCTGCATGGGGGCATGTGTATGTGAACGTGGGTGCCCTCAGAGGCCAGAGCTTTTGAATTCTCTGGAGCTGGAGTAACAGGTAGTTTTGAGCCAAAGTGGGTACTGGGAGTTGAATTCAGGTCATCTACAAAGGCAAGTTCATGCTCTTAACCATTTATTTGTGTGTATGGGTGTTCTGCCTGCATATTGTATCTGTGTAACACACAGACACAGTACCCTTAGAGGCCAGAAAGAGCATCCACTCCCCTGAAACTAGAATTACAGATGGCTGTGAGCCACTGTGTGGATGCTGGGAACCAAACTCAGGTTCTCTGCTAGTGCAAAGGCTCTTAACTACTGATCTACCTCCTCAACTCTACAAAACAGAAAACTTTAATATAGATTGTCACATGCAAGAGTAGGGGCATTAAAAAGAAAAATAAGCCGGGCGGTGGTGGCGCACGCCTTTAATCCCAGCACTCGGGAGGCAGAGCCAGGCGGATCTCTGTGAGTTCGAGGCCAGCCTGGTCTCCAAAGCGAGTTCCAGGAAAGGCGCAAAGCTACACAGAGAAACCCTGTCTCGAAAAACCAAAAAAAAAAAGAAAAAGAAAAGAATACAAGTGACACTTGGTTCTGTATCAATGGCGTCTCCACCCCTTTGAACTTCTACTTTTTGTCCCAGGCTCCCCTCCACCTCCTTTAAGAAAGAGAACTGGCCACCTTTTCCTCCCCACACATCTAAGTTTCTCTCCTTTTTTAATTTTTTTTTATTTTATGTGCATAGTATTTTTGCTTGCATGTGTGTCTGTGTGAAGATGTCGGAACTCCTGGAGTTTCAATTACAGACAGCTGTGAGCTGACATGTGGGAATTGAACCCAGGTCCTCTGAAGAGCAGCCAGTGTTCTTAACTGCTGAGCCATCTCTCCAGCCCCTTCTCTCCCTTCTTTTAAGGCTTACACCACTGCTCTAGTTTTCCCAACTTCCCTCAAAACAAACTACCTCCCTCCCTCCCTCACAGTGTCTTAACACTCCCCACATCCAGTACACAACCTTGTAAACAAAGAATGAAATAGTCAAAGGCTCAGGGACTGCTGTACTATGGACATGGCCATGTCTGCTCTGTGTCCAGGTTTCGTCCACCACACATTGTTGTGTCTGCCTTCCTTCCTCTTAAGACTGCCCTTCTTTTCTGTATTGAGCTCTGTTAGAGTTTTCTTTCACAAGTAAGTGGCCCTTTTGCAGATTTTCAAGACAAGAAAAACAACTGAAACCAAGATTCCTTGGAGGCTAGGAAATCTAGAAGCATTTCCATCCTCCATCGCCCATGAATGGCTCCACAGCCACTCCTCTTTTTGCTTCTTTCTCTTCCATCTTCTATTTGCCAGGTTAATGCTCTCTCAATACTTTACAACTAAATTCATGCTCAAACAACAAATCAAACACTCAGTGCTGTTAATTAAACATTCAAAAGGACAAAAGTTGTATCAGAGGCACCAAACTCCTAAGGTCATCAATCTAAGGAAGCAAAAAAGCAGCAGTTTAAAATGGTGACAGTGCGTAGGACTTTCATGTTCCCAGAGGCTCTAATGGCATCATGCTCTATTACTTTATCACCTCAGTTCATTCTGCATGTGTGTGTCCATGTGTGCACATTATATTATTAAGAATCAGAACTTTCTAGGCATGGTGGCACATCCTTTAATCCTAGGACTCAGGAGGCAGAGGCAAGAAGATTTCTTTGAGTTTGAGCCCAGCCTGGTCGACAAATCGAGTTCCAGGACAGCCAGGGATACAAAGAGAAACCCTGTCTCTAACTCTCCCACCCCCCAAAAAAAGTAATCATGTTTTTCATAACCTCAGTGGGAGGACTAATTTTTTCTGAAGCAGAAATGGCATAACCAAGTGAAAATAATGCCAGCAAGAACCAAGCCTGCAATCTACAATAAGCAACAGAATATTTACGGCACCAAAACTTTTCTTTTAAAAACTGACGAGAAAAGGGGACTGTCATAGATTAAAGAGCCACACTGACTACTGTTCATTTTGGATATAAACAAGTTTGACCCCTCCAGCTGTGCTTTCAGAGGCCCCTAATGGTAGAACCATAGGCCAAAAGGGATTAGGTATTAACAAAATTTACATCTGAAGCCTGGCATAGTAGCTCATGCCTATAATCCCTGCACTATAGGGGCCAAGGCAGGAGGACTGCCAGAGTTCAAGGCCTGCCTGGGCTCCATAGTTACCACCAGGTCTGCTATGGCTACACAAAAAGACCCGTCTCTAAACAAACAACAAAAGCGTCTTTCTGGTGGATGGTGCACAAAGGTGACTGCTCGACAAAGGAAAGGTGTGCCCAGCTGTTAGACTGCTGCCACCTTAGGCCTAACAGACTGACCAAGAGACCAAGTTTCATAAATCATTTCTGTTTAAAACGCAGTCTACGCCGGGCGGTGGTGGCGCACGCCTTTAATCCCAGCACTCGGGAGGCAGAGCCAGGCGGATCTCTGTGAGTTCGAGGCCAGCCTGGACTACCAAGTGAGTTCCAGGAAAGGCGCAAAGCTACACAGAGAAACCCTGTCTCGAAAAACCAAAAAAAAAAAAAAAAAAACGCAGTCTACATTTTTTTCTAAATTTATTTATTATTCTGTGTATAAACGCGCACACGCGCACACACACGCAGGTACCACAGTAAGCATACAATGGTCAGAAGACAACTACAGGGAATTGGTTCTCTCCTTCCAGCTTTCTGTGGGTTCCAGAGAGTAAACTCGGGTCAGCAGGCTTGTCCAACAACTGCCTTTAGCTGCTGAGCTATCTCTTGCACCCTCAGTCAGTGTGTGTGTGTGTGTGTGTGTGTGTGTGTGTGTGTGTGTGTGTGTGTCTACACACTAGAAGAGGCAATCGGATACCATTATAGATGGTTGTTAGCTACCATGTGGATCCTGGGAATTGAACTCAGGACCTCTGTGAAAGCAGCCAGTGTATTAACCCTTGAGCCATCTTACAGTATCTCAGTCTACATTTTTTGAAGGCCATAATTCTATTATTTATGTATAAACTGAAGAGCTTTATTTTCACCTCCCAAAACATTCTCATAAGAGCACAACTAGAGCATTGGTAAAAGAGAATAGACTCATGCAGAGGAGATGGCTTTTGATGATTGCAACACTCAAGACCAATTTGTTCTAAACAGTGAAGCAGCAGTCTCATGCCACCTACTGGGGATTCAGAAGCAGCAGACTTGAGTCAGTCTATTGAATTACACAACAAAAACTGTTTTTAAACTTTCATAAATCCCACTTGAACACTTATTTAATAAATTATCTAAGCGTCAAAAAATATAGTTTAGGAAAAAAAAAAAGAATAGAAGATTGTTCATACCAGGAATGCTATGAATGGATTCTACCACAGAGGTACTTCACCCTAGGAATTGTAAGCTTGATGTTTACTGGGGGTATGTAGATTAAAGGAATAGTATGCTGTGGGATGTTCTGTATGGCAAATGTGTTGCTGGTTGGTCAATAAATAATCACTGATTGGCCAGTGGCCAGGCAGGAAGTATAGGCGGGACAAGGAGGAGAATAAAGTTGGAAAGTGGAAGGCAGAGAGACACTGCCAGCCGCCACGATGACAAACAGCATGTGAAGATGCCGGTAAGCCACGAGCCACGTGGCAAGGTATAGATTTATAGAAATGGATTAATTTAAGCTGTACGAACAGTTAGCAAGAAGGCTGCCACGGCCATACAGTTTGTAACCAATATAAGTCTCTGTGTTTACTTGGTCGGGTCTGAGCGGCTGTGGGACTGGCAGGTGAGAGAGGTTTGTCCTGACTGTGGGCCAGGCAGGAAAACTCAAGCTACAATAGTGCTTATAGTATTCAAGCCTATAAACACTCAATGTGCTGTGAAATTAAGAGAATATTTGATATTGAGTAGCTATTTAAAACTTAATGGCAAGTCATTTTCTGAAGTACTAAATAATGCAAAGTGGGGCATGCCACAATAGAGATAGCACATTTGGGTTCTAATGGCTTAAATGTGAATGATTTAGATAAAATAACCTTTAACAGGGTTTCTTGATCTCCTGTGCTTTGCTGTAATATGTATCTGCTGAAAAAAGAGTAGAGGGATTCAGAGAGGGAAAGGGAGAGAGGCAACTATTACCAATCCTCTGGTCTCCATCTAGGATCTGCTGCAAGAGAAGCCAGCCACCTTTTTCCTGGAGTGACCTCAGACTTCAGGAACCCTAGTACTGTGGTGTTTCTCAATAGGAAATGTTCACAGTCTCTACAATGTCAAGATAACTTTGTATAATCATTTTTCAGTACAAACACAGTATCTGGGGTTTTTTAAGTGACACGCAGGCTCTAAGTCTTAGAGGGTTAGAATGCTAGAGAAAATGTTCATCTGAGGAAAAGGATTATAAAGTACAGTAGTCAGCTTCTTAAATATTAAAATCACATTATGGAAAAATATCATAATACAACTTACTCATATAGCTACTGTAAGAGATAAATCATGAATGGCATAGTCCTATTCACAGAAACACACTGTTATAAAGTGAACTTAAAATTCAAAAGGGGAAAAATGATCTAATATCCATTTCAAATCCATACTAATTTCAATTCATTATGTTATTTACTGAGTTGCATGGCATCAGGAGACACATTGGATCCTGAAGACACAAAGACAGATCAACAAAGAGTTACAACATGTCTAGTAACTGCTGTGAAAGTATGTTAACATACAGAAGCAAGCCACTGAGTACAATTACTGCCAGGAAGGAAGGGAATAGGATTGAGCAAGGCTTCACAGAGGAAGTTACTATCTGAACCAAGACATGAAAAGAGAGTCCCCAGGCATGAGAGAAAGGAAAGTGTGCAAAATATGAGGTCTGCTGGAGTGGTCCAGGCGAGCTAGTTTTACTAATAGAAAGAAGACAGAAAAACTGGCAGGGACAAGGACCACAGCCTTACATTATGCTGCATAATTTGACTTTCATAGAATAAAGAAAGAAAATAGCTTTAACATGGTAGATGATGTGATTTTCCGACAGATCATATTCCCAAACAAATCTAGTAAGCTGATAAATGGGATGATATGGGAAAACGCAATGAGATGAACCCTTATCATTCTCACAGGCGACTGAATTACAAGTTCACTAATTCCAACCATTTAAAGAATAAAAAATTAAGTTTAAGTTGAGTAGTAATTTTACTGACTACCACAGAACATGGTAGGGAATTTTCGATTGCTATTATTTTAGCACTTCCACTTTTTACCCACTGGTCATGAAGGTTCAAATCCCAAATGAACCCTTGTGCTGGTTAGTTTTGTTAACTTGACACAAACTAGAGTCATCTGGGAAGAGGGTCCCTAACTTGAGGAATTACCTCCATCAGACTGGCCTGTGGGCATATCTATGGGGCATATTCTTGATTACGATGGCCAGTACCACCCCTGGGTTCTGTTTCAGTTCCTGCCTTCAGACTCCTGCCTTGAGTTCTTGCCTTGACTTCCCTCAATGATAAGCTGTAAGCTGTAAGATGAAAAAAACCTTTTCTTCCCCAAGTTGCCCTTGGTCATGGTGCTTAACATTAGCACACTGTGAACATAGTATATTTTCTTTTTCCTTGATGACTCTGGTGTGTACTTTAGCTAATGGACAGAATACAGACATAACCCAAATCTAGAAGGCAGGCAGAAGAATTAAGGTCAAAATGGCTTACAAGCATAAACATTGGGCTGGAGAGATGGCTCAGAGATTTAGGGCACTGGTTATTCTTCCAGAGGACCTGGATTCTATTCCCATCACCCACACGGCATCTCACAACTGTCTGTAACTCTAGTTCCAAGGGATCTGACACCCTCACACAGACAGCATGCAGGCAAAACACCAATGCACATAAAATTTAAAAAAAAAAAAAAAAAAAAAAAAAGCCGGGCGGTGGTGGTGCACGCCTTTAATCCCAGCACTTGGGAGGCAGAGCCAGGCGGATCTCTGTGAGTTCAAGGCCAGCCTGGGCTACCGAGTGAGTTCCAGGAAAGGCGCAAAGCTACACAGAGAAACCCTGTCTCGAAAAACCAAAAAAAAAAAAAAAGAACATAAATATTTAACTATAATAAATAAATAATGCCAATTAAAAATGACAGCCACTGATCTTTTCATAAATCAAAAACTGTAACTTAAGTAGTTAGGTAACTTCTAGAAAGGTGAATAAAATGAATGCAAGCAATAGCTTTCCAAGAATTCCCCAAATCACATAATCTAAACATAGGCCCAAGCTCTTAAAGACATCACAACAGTCGGGCAGTGGTGGCACATGCCTTTAATCCCAGCACTTGGGAGGCAGAGCCAGGCGGATCTCTGTGAGTTCGAGGCCAGCCTGGGCTACCAAGTGAGTTCCAGGAAAGGCGCAAAGCTACACAGAGAAACCCTGTCTCGAAAAACCAAAAAAAAAAAAAAAAAAAAAAAAAAAAGACATCACAACACACTTCTCTGCACTGGCACTCAAATGCAGAAAGTCACAACACCAGCAAGTAAAGGGGAAAGAATGATTCCCCCAGGTGAAATTGGTGAACCTATGGGCCTTTCTAGGTTGGTTTACTGAAGACTACTAAGGACAGCAGTGCACTGAAGAACCAGTTCTACTTATTGTACCCTCATAACCCAAAGAGCAAATGCACTCAAAGCAACTTCAACCTTCCCTTTTCATTAGTAAGAGTTCATTATGCAAATAAACAATGTACTAACATGGCTCCTTATCCACGTAGTAGCCTCTCGAGTAACTTTATTTGATATGGCAGTCTCCAGTGAACTCAAAGAACGTCTTGTCTGACATTAAGGCTCAAGGAATGATCTCAACCGAAGCATTAAGACTCAAGGAATGATCTCAACCAAAGCAGCGGGTTTAAAGACTGAGAGAGGTAGGGGAAAAGGCCTATAGTCTTTGTACCTGTATAAAGCTTAACAATACAGTGGCAGTACCTGGTACAAGTTATTTAGTATTAACTAACAATGGATACCTCAGCAGACAAGATGCATTTTAAATAACGCATAAGAATACCTTATTAACAGACTAGTCCTTGAGCAGGAAATTAACTAAGAGGAACAGCATACAATGCTTTCACACACCCAAGCCTGTATAACTCTTATCTCTTCTTTTTCCTATCTACCTTACAGGGAAAATGACTGGCAATCACTTACATTAACAAGAGACTCCTTAAACTTGATGTGAAGTCTGTAATTAGAAAGGGCAATGATGGCATCCTCAGCACGGCCCACATACTCTGTGCTCTCTCCATGAAGTTCAAGAAAAGGAACCTGGAAGACAGAAGAAAACTTTCAGAGTTCCAGAGCAGAAAAGCCAAGTCTTCAAAAACAAGCCAGGTGAATAAACGGTCAGTGGAACAAATGGACAACAGACTCTCTGCCATAAAAGTTTAAAGCAAGAATCTGAAAGATGGGCTTATACTCACCTAATTTCAATATACTTACCCAAATTAGGGACTTCTATGATGACAAAAATGACCATCTCAAACAATGAACTTTTAGGAAATAACTCTTGCAAAAAGGAACAATGTTTTCCAGATTGCATTTCTATACGTACAGTTTAGGGAATGCATCTATTACACATTACGTCAATCCACTAGCTTTGCTTCATCATTACTGCAATCCTAAACACATATTACACAGTCAAAAATGGCCTGTAATTACCTGAAGATTCTCATCCTCCCGAATCAGCTGCTTCCTGGGAAAAATCTGATTGGCTTGGATGCACTCCAGGCTGTGTCGCATCTCTTCATCCTGGAAATCCCCAATGTTTAAGTAATTTTCAAACTTCAACTTATCATCCATATTTGATTTTATCTACTATGTTTACTTACATAATCACAATATTAGGTATTGCTATGGTTTAGATAAGGGTTCCCCAAAGGCCCACATGTTCAAGGTTTTGATGCTAGCACACAGCACTGTTAGCAGAGGGTTAGAAACTCTGAGAAGCAATACAAGGAAGGTAGGCCAATGGAGGAACCTAAACCCTTCTCTGCTTTCTGGGCTCCACTAGGTGAGTGGGCATTCCATCACATGTTCCCACCTTGATATACACCAGGGCCAACTGACCAAGACTATCAGCCAAAATAATTCTTTTCTCCTTTTTAGTTGACTTCTCTCAGGCATTTGTAATAGGAACAGAAGTCTGACTATTAAGAGTATAATCTGAGGATACAATGATGCATAAAGTATCAGGCATTACAATCTCTGTGGGCACCAAGAGGCTGTGGTGCCTTTTGAAAAAAACCAAGAAGCAGTAATCTTGCTCTTTATGTTATAATCTTACATTTTTATTTTTGAGAAATACATACTAATACATACATACTTAAGAATAAAAAATGATGGTTGGAATTCACTTCAACATAATTAAGGGGTATAAGAAAGGAGTGGGTGAGGAACAAATGAAACAGGATAATTCATGAAACTGTTAAGTGGTGAATAGAAGTTTGCTACACCATATATCCTTTGTACAATAGAAAGCTTCAAAAAGGTGTGCTTTAGGGCTGGAGAGATGGCTCAGAGGTTAAGAGCACTGGCTGCTCTTCCAGAGGACCTGAGTTCAATTCCCAGCAACTACATAGTGGCTCATAACCATCTATAATGAGATCTGGTGCTCTCTTCTGGTGTACATGCAGGCAGAACACTGTATACATAATAAATAAATAAATCTTTTTTTTTTTTTTTTTTTTTTGGTTTTTCGAGACAGGGTTTCTCTGTGTAGCTTTGCGCCTTTTCCTGGAACTCACTTGGTAGCCCAGGCTGGCCTTGAACTCACAGAGATCCGCCTGGCTCTGCCTCCCAAGTGCTGGGATTAAAGGCGTGCGCCACCACCGCCCGGCTTAAATCTTTTTTTAAAAGTGTGCTTTAATATAAAAAGAAAAAGAAACAAAAAACTAAGAACCAAATTTCCAAAATTTAAAACAGTGCAAACCACTATCCAAGTTCACTCTGCCTTCCATTACCAAGCAGGTCTCTTCTAGTTAAGGCAACTTCAAAATAGCTCCTTTACACTCTAGCTGTTACAGTACAGGGAGGCCCAAGAGAAACATAGTCTATGAGAAAGCCTGGCTCTAGGTTATGATGAACTCTGCTCATACAGTCAGTATCCCCTCCATTTCCACTTTACTGGGGATCAAATCGGGGCCTCAAGCATGGTAAGCAAGTACTACACAGAAAATTTTTTTGTTTTCTGTTCTCTCTTTACAGACAGGGTCTCACACTGTCACTTAGGCTGGCCTGGAACTCTGTATATACCCCCTTGAATTTACAGCTGTGTGGACTTCTTTCTCCTTACATAGGCTGGAGAGTCCTATTGGGAACAAATAACAACCCTGGAAACATCTGCCTAATCACTGAACTCTCAAAAGACACACTTAAATCTCTTTTAAAATCCTTTGAAAAACAGAGGTATCTAGGAAGAGGAGATGATGAAGGTGGAAGGGGGTATTGGAGAAGTTCAGATGGAGTTGGGGGTGTGGGGGCTAAGTGTAGTTGAATATCATCAAAACAGTGTATGTGTATGAAATTGTCAAAAAGTAAATGAAAAAAATCTTTTAAAAAAACAAAATTCAGAGTTACAGAATTTTCTATAAAAAACTAAAGATTAAGGACAAAAATCTAAATGATAAAAACAATAGTAAAGTGAATCAATGACTCAACAATTTCAAAGAATTACGTAGCTAACAAAATGATTATCAGGAATCCAACAAACAAATGAGAAAATGTTCAAATAATAATAGCAAGATTGAAGCTTGTGCTATAAGACTAATTACTTATATATACACTTATACATATATGTAAATGAATGACATGGACCGTCAGAAAACAATACACACAACCATGAGTTCTAATGGTAAAATTATAACTTTTTTAAAAATTTGCTAGAATGATCCTGGAGTAGTCTGAATGAGAATTATCCCTATTGGCTCATATATTTGAATGCTTGGTTCCTAGTTGGTGGAACTGTTTGGGAAGGATTCGGATGTGTGGCCTTGTTGGAGGATGTATGTCACTGGGGGTGGGCTGATAACGTTTTTTAATTTGCTAGAATGATCCTGGGGTAGTCAGAATGGGAGTGTCCCCCCACTGGCTCATGTATTTGAATGCTTGGTTCCCAGTGTGTGGAACTGTTTGGGAAAAATTAGGAGGTGTGGCCTAGTTGGAGGAGGTATATCACTGGGGGTGGGCTTTGAGGTTTCAAAAGCTCTCAGCTACCATTTCAGCACCATGCCTGCCATCTGCCACTATGTTCCCTACCATGATGGTCTAGAACCGCTAGCAAACCCCCAATTAAATGCTTTCTTTTATAAGTTGCCTTGCTGATTGTGGTTGTTTGAAAGAAAATGGCCCCCAAAGGGAGTGGCACTATTAGGAGGTATGGCCTTGTTGGAAGAAGTGTGTCAGTGGGGGGATGGGCTTTGAGATCTCTTTTCCTCAAGCTTCCCTCATTGGGGCAGTCAGTCGACTTCCTGTTGCCTGCAAGACATAGCACTCTCAGCTCCAGCACCATGTCTGCCTGTATGCCACCAAGCTGCCCATCATGATGATAATGGACTGAATCTCTGAAACTGTAAGCAAGCCAACCCAATTAAATGTTTTCCTTATTAAGAGTTGTCGTGGGCCGCGCAGCGGTGGCATATACCTTTAATCCCAGCACTCAGGAGGCAGAGCCAAGTGGATAACTGTGAGTTTGAAGCCAGCCTGGTCTACAGAGTGAGATGCAGGACAGGCACCAAAACTACAGAGAGAAACCCTGTCTCGAAAAACCAAAAAAAAAAAAAAAAAAAAAAAAAAAAAAAAAAAAAAGAGTTGTCGTGGTCATGGTGTCTCTGCAGAACAATGAAAACTCCAACAATGACAGTCATGCTGTTTCTTCACAGCAACAGAACAGTAACTAAGACAAATCTTTTAGGATGTGTAGTCACACTGCTCCATAACTATTGGGATCCCCAGACGACTGTGCTAGACACTACAGAGACCTCAGCAGTACCAGGAAAAGAACTGTACAGCTGGCTCTACCTGGCACACAGTGAAGGGCGAGCACTCAGGGCAGAGCAGAGCAGCTTTGGTGCCTAATTGCTGCTCACTAGCAATGGCATGCACACCATGTCAATATTAGCTCATTGAAAACTGTGGAAAACAAAAACTGAATACTTCAAATAAAAAACAGTAAAATGTCATCATCCTTTGGGTACAAAATTAAATCAGAAAATTGTGATGCCCACAAATCAAGAGAACACTGGCCCATCTTTAAAAAGGGAGACATTTCCTTTCTCCTCCTTTTTCATCATAACTAGGTGGGGGGGATTGTTGCTGTTCTGTTTTTGATTGTGAAAAGCATTTTCCACACGTCCCTAATGAAGCTTGAAATTAACATGCTATTTTCAATTCCCTCTTTGTGCACTAGCACAAAACACTTTGGGTCTAGAACTACCACACGGTTAACAACAAAAACAAACCAATCAGACAGTGTTATATAGAAAATAATTCCTCTAGTCCTCAAAGCTCTGCTTACACATCCTTAGGACTGATGAGATGTTGCTGGCTATGTTCTATCTTTTCTGCCTAAATGGCCCACATGCCACTGAAATGCCCATTGTGTTCTTCAAGGAGAGGTATGAGCTAGGTGTGCACAGCTGCCCATCTGCTATGGAGTCAAAAGAATCTTAAAGGCATAATAGGAAAGGCAGGGAATTGTTGCCACCCAGAAAACAAATTCATATAAAATGTGCGCTATGTGTGATAGTGTATGTTCATTAGCTCAATTTAACCATTCTATAATATATGCTTATTTTGCAACACATTTTACAATGTTTCACAATTCTGTAAATCAAATAAAGACAAAAATGTGTGAGTGGTCATCTCACAATTCTCTTCACACACCAAGCAAACACATAACAATCATTTTCACATGTCTTGCTTCCTAACACTTTTTTCAGGAGCGGAGGAAGTGAACCTGGGGCCTCACACATGCAACAGCATGTGGTTTACCACTGAGCTATACATACCTCCAAGCCAGCTTCCTAGTAAAGGAAGAAATGAAAATCCTAGTGCTGTGGGATGTTCTTCTGTATGGCAAATGTGTTGCTGATTAGTCATTAAATAAAACACTGACTGGCCATTGGCTAGGCAGGAAGTGTAGGCGGGACAAGGAGGAGAATAAAGCTGGGAAGTGGAAGGCTGAATGAGAGAGACACTGCCAGCTGCCACGATGAGAAACAGCATGTGAAGATACCGGTAAGCCACGAGTCACGTGGCAAGGTATAGATTAATAGAAATGGGTTAATTTAAGCTGTAAGAACAGTTAGCAAGAAGCCTGCCACGGCCATACAGTTTGTAAGCAAAATAAGCCTCTGTGTTTACTTGGTCGGGTTTGAGCGGCTGTGGGACTGGCAGGTGATAGAGATTTGTCCTGACTGTGGGCCAGGCAGGAAAACTTAAGCAACATCCTAGAGTCCAAGAATTACATATTTCAATCTTGCCTCCACTCACTGACTGACTTAAGATGTGCTACATATCTAGTTCTCAGGATTCTGCTACCATAAATGTAGCTCCTCCGTTCATACTAGATTGGTACTGAGGAACTGACAAAGGGATAGAGATAATTAGGAAATGGGGAGGAAATGAAATTATTTCTTACAAAACAAGCAGATGTATTAGTGTTCGCATTTCATCAAGACAAGAGTCCAACTCTAATTCCTTATTTCTGTACTTACCATGACCAGGCCAGGGCAGGAGAGACCCCGTCCTTCTCCAGTCTCTAACAAGGCTCTTCCTTCTCTTCTGCTTGAGACCTTTTATTTTGGGAAGACAAAAAGAGAGGCAAAATTGGCAACAGTTTTACCCCTAATTGGCCATACCCTAATTAAAGAGACTGCATATACAGACCTGAAACTCAACCACAGTCAGCATAGAAAAAGTTGAATATCAGCCAGCTAAATCCTCACCATTTGTTCTAAACTGAATAATACCTTTGGGAAAATACTAACTTTAACTAGTTCTATAAGAAAAGTGGCAAACACTGACAATCTGTGTTGAGAGTAATTTTCAAATGCCTAGTATGTGCAGTGTGAGGCCCTCGATTAAATTCCCAGCACAGGCCGGGCGGTCGGTGGTGGCACACGCCTTTAATCCTAGAACTCAGGAGGCAGAGCCAGGTGGATCTCTGTGAGTTCGAGGCCAGCCTGGTCTACAGAGTGAGTACCGGAAAATGCGCCAAAACTATACGGAGAAACCCTGTCTCAAAAAAAAAAAAATTCCCAGCACAGGTAGGTAGGTAGACGGGTGGGTGGGTGGGTAGGTAGATGGGTGATACCCTGCCTTTCATATATAGATATACAAATAAAACCTATGTAGAATCAAGTAGTTAAAGAATCAGACACCACTTTTATGACTGCCAGTAAAATTTTAGGATGTAAATAATGATCTGGTCTATAAATGAAATTACCCCAAATTCTTAAATAATTTTCCAGACAAAAGAGTTGAAAGGGGCCGGATGGTGGTAGTGGTGGCCTGTAATCCCAGCACTAGGGAGGCAGAGGCAGGTGGATCTCTGTGAATTCGAGGCCAGCCTGGTCTACAGAGCTAGTCTAGGACGGGCTCCAAAGCTACAGAGAAACCCTGTTTAAAAAAAAAAAAAAAAAAAAAAAAAAAAAGAGTTGAAAGGGAAGCTTATAAAGTAAGAAGCTCTAATCAGGGCTGGAGACATGACTCAGCAGTTAAGGGCACTTGATGCTCTTGCAGAGGACTTGAGTTCAGTAGCACCCACATGGTGTTAACAACCATCAGTCACTCCAGTTCCAAGAGATTTGACACCTTCTTCTGGCCACCAAGCATGCACGTGGTGCAAATACATACATTCAAAAAAATACTCATATACATAAAGTAAAAATAAATACCTCTAAAAAACTCAAGCAACCCTTTCAACCACCTGCAACATAAGGACATTATCTGGATCCTAATTCAAATAGGGTATAAAAACAAACTGGAACATTTTGAGAACTCTGACAACATACTACTTGATGACATTAAACACCTCATTAATGTTATACACACACATACACTCACACACATACACACGGCTGTGGTTATGGATTTTTTGCACATGGTTTTAGGGTTTTTCTTAGGGATATATCTCTTAAATATACCACTGAAATACACACAGATAAAGGGATAAACAATGTACATTTAGAATGGAGTGTATCTGTGAAACAAAATGGACCATGAGCTGATAACTTTTCAGGACCAGTGAGATAGGTAAGTAGAGATGAAATTATTTTCTCTACTTTTAGACCTTCAAACAGTGTGAGCTATCTCAATACTTTCTAAGTTTTCAACGGAACTGAAAACAGTATGCTGAAGCTTTAGCTGCATTTCCATGTTTATTTCATCTCTATTCATGATACACAAGCTATGGGATCAACCTTGATGTCCACGGAATGAATAACTATAGATGCAATGGAACACCAGTTGACCATAAAAAGAAAGAAATTCTGTCATTTGCAGCAATGTGATAGAATTAAAGGGCATTACATTAAGAGAAATCAGTTAGAAACAGAAAAACAAAAACTGTATTTTTTATTACTTTTTACTCCACTTACTATACATGAAAACTAAAATTTTGATCTCAAAGAAATAGGAAACAGAACAGCTGTTCCTAGAACCTGAGACAGTTGGGGAGGAAGATGAAAGAGATGGTTAGTGAATATAGGAGTCCCGAGGTTAAGAGGAACAACTTCTAATGCTCTACAGCACAGGAGAACTACATACAGCTAGCAGAAATTCCTAACGTTCATCACACAAAGACACTGACTTATCATACACATTGTATTCATATAGAGAAATGCCCCAATATATTCCACACTTCTGTAGCAATTAAGCATATGTATGTATACACACACACACACACACACACACATACACACATACTGAAAAAAGATACTGAAGAACTAATTTAGAGAATCAAGGTTTCAGCTATCATAAAAATAATGTTAATACAACACACTTATCAAAATGCATAGTGTTTTTTTAATAATTTTTCCAAATTTCCAGAGAAAATTTAGGGAAGCATACAAGTATCACAGAGCTAGATATAACAAATAAAATGTAGCCAACATCAATGACAACGAACTATAAATCAAGACCAGCTACAACATAAACTCTTGACAAGTAAGCATACCATATACACATAAGCTATATTTCCCAGTGTCTTTCTGGAACTCGCTATGTAAGCCAGGCTGGGCCCAAACTCACAGAAATCCTCCTGCCTGACTCCCTAGTGATGGTGTGCACCACCATGCCTGGCCTAGCCTTTTAAAAAATATTTATTTTTTACAGACAAATGGATGGATCTAGAAAAAATCATCCTGAGTGAGGTAACCCAGACTCAGAAAGACAAACATGGTATGTACTCACTCATAGCAAGATACTAGACATGAAACAAGGATGACTTGTCTGCTACTCACATCACCAGGGAGGCTACCTGGAAAACAGGACCCCAAGAAAGACACAGGGATCACCCAATGACAGAGAAATGGAATGAGATCTACATGAACAGCCTGGACATGAGTGGGGGTAATGAAAGGTGAGGGTTGAGGGAAAGAGAGCTTGGGGGAGCGGGAGATCCCAGCTGGATCAACAACAGAGAGGGAGAACAAGGAATAGGAGACCATGGTAAATGAAGACCACATGAGAATAGGAAGAAGCAAAGTGCTAGAGAGGCCCACAGAAATCCACAAAGATACCCACACAACAGACTGCTGGCAATGGTCGAGAGACAGCCCGAACTGACCTACTCTGGTGATGGGATGGCCAAACACCCTAATTGTTGTGCTAGAAACCTCATCCAACTACTGAGGGATCTGGATGCAGAGATCCATGACTAGGCCCCGGGTGGATCTCTGGGAGTCCAATTAGCGAGAATGAGGAGGGTTTATATGAGCGAGAATTGTTGAGACCAAGGTTGGATAAAGCACAGGGACAAATAGCCAAATGAATGGAAATACATGAACTATGAACCAATGGCTGAGGGGTCCCCACTGGATCAGGCCCTCTGAATGGATGAGACAGTTGATTGGCTTGATCTGTTTGGGAGGCATCCAGGCAGTGGGACCAGATCTTGTGCTCATTGCATGAGTTGGCTGTTTGAAACCTGGGGCCTATGCAGGATTGTTTGGCTCGGCCTGGGAGGAGGGGACTAGACCTACCTGGACTGAGTCTACCAGGTTGACCTCAGTCTGTGGGGAAGGCTTTGCCCTGGAGGAGATGGGAATGGGGGGGGGGGGGGGGGGGGGGGGTCGGGGGGGAGGTGAAGGGGGACGGGAGGGGGGGAGAACAAGGGAATCCGTGGCTGATATGTAGAACTGAATTGTATTGCAAAATAAATTAATAAAAAAAAAAATTTATTTATTTGTTTATTTGGGTTTTTTGAGACAGGGTTTCTCTGTATAGCTTTGGAGCCTATCCAGGAACTCAATTTGTAGACAAGGCTGGCCTCAAACTCACAGAGATTTGCCTGCCTCTGCCTCCCCAAGTGCTGGGATTAAAGGCAAGCACTACCACTGCCCAGTCTGGCCTAACTTTTTAGTAAGTACAGAAATCCTGTGAAAGTAGTACTCAATTTAAACTATTTACTCCAAGATGATGTCTTCCATTTCTTACAACAAATAATGACCCTGAAAAAAATCAGTCAATAAAAATTAGCTTGGAACACAACTCAATAGCAGAGTGTCTGCCTAGCATACATAAAGCTCCAGGTTTAATCCCCAGTAATATGCACACATGCATGCACACACGCACGCACATAACGCACACCCTTCCCATGTCTCAGAGAGTGCCAATGTGTTGGCTCCTTCATCCAGGCAGCTTTTATTCCAATACAAAAGAAAGAAAAAATAATAATAATTACAAACTGTATAATGAAGGAAACCAAAATGATAAGACACAGTACAGTTAAAAGGATACAAGAGGCCTACTTTAATTAAAGATGATCAATCAGAAAAGGCATAGGGAACATCATGTGTTCTTGACCCAGCAAAAACCTACGTATTTAAAAAACTAAGCACTTAGGCTAAAATGTGCTAACTGGATGAGAAAGTTACAAAACTTGAAGGTGGGGCAGTGCACAGAGAAAAGATGGTGAAACAAACCATGGGGTAAAGACTCCACTTCAAGCACAATCAACACCACTGAGTGGTTTCAAACTGCAGATGGACAGGATCTGCTTTTAAGATCACTCTGGCTGGTGTGTGGTAAATGAATAACAGGAGGAAAACAATAAAAACAACCAGGAAACAATTCTATGAAAAGGATGGTATTTCTATTTAGAACAGAGGCAGGGCAGTATAGACATGAAAAACATTAAGGATCTGAACAGTATTTCAGAGACTTATGGAAATGTTAACAGGAGTGCACATTAAAAGCCTGGCTATGAGAGCTAAGCAAGATTAGAGAATTTATAATTCAAGAGGGGAAATAATAAACACATAAAAAACAGTTCAAAGTAGGGGGCAGGATATAGCTCTGTGGTAGAATAACTTGCCTAGCATGCATGAAGCCCAAGTTCCAATCTCTTCCATGAGGAGAGAGGCCCCATAATAAGAGGTGTTGTTTTAATCAACCAAGAAAAAATAAAGTTACTATAGGAATTCCAAATTCATAAGGAAAGATCATGGATGAGTTTGCAATCAGTAAGAACTAAGCAACCGCTAACAGTTCCCTCAAAGTACAAAGACCAAATAGATTGACCAATCCTCAGGAAAGAGTGCTGAATGAAGCACCTCAGCTGACAACCACA